TCATTTAAAAAGAAAGAATTTACTAAGCATCTACCAAGTGACAAACCTGAGTTTGTGATAAGAACTGAAAACACAGCTGAGGAGCAGTGCCTTGGTCCTGATTAAGAACCACGGAAGATAGACCATATTCAATGAAACAGAAATTCTGTAAACACAACCACCTTTTGCCAGATCCTTCCTGGGCTCACGTAGCATACTTATATTTGTTCACTCAGGTATTTTGCTTGAGAGCTCTGTAGCATCTGATCAAGTAAGGAGATGAGCCAGCAAGGAAGTTGAGCCTCTATTGTCCACTAGCTGGTATCTACTGCAGCCACAGCCCCTGACACCATCACTGCTGCAAAGCATTCTCTAGCCTGCAGAATTGGAGCACAAAAAAAAAAAAAAAAAACCTTGACTTTTCTAGTTTATTCACACAGAACGAGTCTAACAATGCCCTCATGGAACTTTATTTTACCTTCTCCTTACCAAATGTTCCCACCACAAGCTACAAGCTGTCCAGTTGGGAAACATCCAGCGCTCTCTCAGCACTTACGATGCAATGAGTGCAACATGAAATGTCGGTTTCCTCTTTCACTCAACTCCTTTAAAATGCCAACCGACGCCCGGAGTTTCCACTGTGTCAGAAGAAAGGAATTCTGCTCAGAAGTCCTCTTTCTTTGGGCTTCACCGCTCTGAATTCTCCTCCCCTAGAGCTGAATACAAAGCCTCTCCCTGGATCATTGTTCAGTGGATGTAAATCATGGAAAGGTCATCCATTCATTATATGAACTTTCCCCCTGTGCTCACCTCTGTAGTGATATTTCATTAGTAGTTTAATAAATAAAGCTTGCCTGATGATAGGAGAGTAAAACAGCTGCACTGATCAGCCTTACAGACCAGGCAGTGGTGGCACATACCTTTAATCCAAGTAACCACACTAGTTTGCCATAGAAACTGGGTGGTAGTGGTGCACGCCTTTAATCCCAGCACTAGGGGAATAAAAGAGAAGAGACAGCTTTCAGACAGAGTCTCATTCTGAGATTCCTGGAGGCAGGATGGCCATTTCGGACAGAGGTAGAGGTAAGAGCCAGTGACTGATTTTTTGCTTTTCTGACCTTCAGTTTAAACCCCAATAACTGCCTCTGGGTTTTTTATTAATCATGCTACAAATTTATCTTCTCTGGGATACCATTTGTGACTGAGCCTATGCTTCTATCTTCCTTTTCCAGTCCACACCGCCCTTCCTTCACCTTTGCCTTATCTTATAATGTTGCTTGTCATTTTAGCGGTGTGTTCTCCTTCCAGATACCTAACTCCACAAGAACAAGAAAAGCACCTGCCTTCTGTGCACAGAGGCCAAAACCCATATACCTCAGAGAGGATGAGTACTTAGTCTCTCAAAGCTTGCTACTCCATACCTACCATTTCCCAGCTCTTCTATATAGAGATTTGCAGTCTTACTTAGGGGAGAGCATGAATGGATGACTGAGTCCCAAGGAAAGGACCTGAAGTCACAGGGAGTTAGATTTGTAAACAGTCCAGTCACACGGGCCATTTCCACAGGGAGTAGAAAACTGTAAAACTGCCACGGGTACACCTGCAAAGTGCTTTGCAAAAGCAGAGGTTCTACTTCCAAGGTCCTGGACTAAAGACAAGCAACATTCGCAAATGATTTGTGAGGTCTGGCACTAGAGAGATTGGATGGGGTTATAGTTAGGAGATACACTCTATGTGGCTTTGGGACATTCCATATACACTTAAAGAATTGCTAGCCACCTGCAAGAAGGAATGGCTCTCAAGGATATTCTTACTATAGAAGGGGACAACTAAACCAAAAGCCATGCCATGATGGAGTCAGATCAGAGATTGTAGGCCCATATTTTTGGATGGCACAAAAGCCATAGGCCTGGTCTGAGATGGTCACATAGCTCTGCAGACAAGCTGTCTCTGACTAACAATAGTCGGGATATGCTGCTCCTTCTCTTTTGTTATAAATGTAGATCGCCTGAGGAGAGGTGTTGGCTGAAGCGGGTGGTCAGGAAGTTGTTGCTTCTTTCTTTGTAAGATATCTTTGTAAGGATATCTTATAGAGATGCTAATTCATGCCTATGTGACAGCTAGCATACAGGTTGAATACAGATGTGATTAAAGGTCATTCACCTGTTACCTAGGAGACAACCTAATGTGTTTTCCTGCTCAATTTATGTGATGATATATAAGCTGTTTGGAGAATAAACAAGGGAGATCTTTGGGAGATCATCAGGAGAAAAGACCCTGAGATGCCCTTCCATCATGACCATGTAAACTGTGTCTGATTATTCCTCGCAACTCCGTACCAGTCCAGTTAGGGAAAAGAATTATCTGTATTGGACCCACACAGCCTCCAACAGAGATCATATCCATGTTGGTACATACTCCATTTCTCAATACAATTCCAAGCACAAGACTGAAGTGAGCAGAGCTTGCATATGTAAAATTTCCCAGTCATCAGTATGAAAAATATAAACGCAAAATAGTTTTTCAGCAAACCCAAAGTCCTCTCTGGTAAGGAATTTACCCAGTACCATACCATCAATACTTATAAATGAACTATGCATTTTTCTCATACTTATCAAAATCTCACAACAATTACTCCAAGTTCTTATGTTTATAAAGCAAAAAAGCATAATAATCCTATAAAGCAGCAAAACTGTAATAATTCAGGCATGAAAGGAACTATTTGACAGCTCCCCACTAAAATGGAAATTAAACTAAAAAACAGTAAGAGGGTTTATAAATAAGAATTTGAGTAGCTGAAAAACAGTCACTAGACCATATGAAAACAAGGCTTGGGTATGTCTTTACTCTTCATGGGGAAGATACTTTTCTAAAATTGCTGCTAAATGAAAGGGGTAATTAAAGACAATTCCAGCTATTATTTGGTCTCTGGATTTGAACTCAAGCTTGTGTTACAAGCTGTGTGCCCACTAAACCATCTTCCCTGTACCTACACCTAAGTTTTACTGATAATTTATTTACAAAAAAATTATTTTTATACCTAATAATGTCTTATTATTCTTTTTATTGAATAAATTTTCCCTTAACAATGTATATATATATATATGTGTGTGTGTGTGTGTGTGTGTGTGTGTGTGTGTGTGTGTGTATATATAGGAAGTATATATGTGCGTACATATATGTGAATATATACATATGTATGTGTGTATATAATGTGTGTGTTTATATATTATAGATTAGGCCCTAAAATCCTTACTCAATATCCTACCACAAAGATACAGAAACAAAAGTATTCCATGCCAGATTTAAGCAGGTTGTTGACATACATCAGCAAAATGTCATATCACACCCCACAGCAGATGAATGAATTTGTCTTTTTATAACTGAAGTTTGTATTGGAGGGCAGATAATCACTATCATAAATAGCTTTCGTTGGTCTCTGTTCTGCCTTTTCCCACTGTGATACTTGATAATGAGAATTTTGTGATGTACAAAGGAAAGGCAATGGGCCTTTTTAAAGGTGAGTGGAGAATCATCAAATTAATTCAGCATCTGCAGTGCTGATAGTGTGTTATTAAACCCCTGAGCGCTAATGGATATTGAACAAATTTTCCAAGGTCAAAGTTCCAATTACTCTTTGAATCCTCAAATGTTTCTAAATCGTGAAACCTTTCTGATTTCCATCTACTGTGCATGCAATGTATTATCTGCAAAGGGACGCATGACCCATGACTCCCAACTTTCCATTTAACCCTGAGGAAACAGGGTTTGAATGAAAATGAAGGAGCATTTTATGGCCTTATCTCACTCTGATACCAACGAGCTGAATCAACAAGTATCTACTATACCATATGATGCAATGCAGGGATCATGTGAACCTGTAAAGCTTGGGGGAAATCTCTTGTCTGGAAGCTGAGCAGTGGTAGTCTGTTCCATGCTGGTTTCTAAGACTTTCCATTGTTGACCTTTTTTTTTTTTTTTTAATCTCAAAAGGAAAAGAGTGGATTCTGAGAAACCATGACCTTGTATCAACCAACTGAGATCAGAAGGCTCCACAGATCTGCAAGCATCTAATAAGATCACACATCTTATCAAAATTCTAAAGATGTTCTCTGTTTGACACATTCAAATCAAGGAGTGAAGAATAAAAATATTTCAAAAATTTTGAGGGATATAAAACTTCATTCCTCTCATCTCATTTGATATCATCATTCTATGATTTTATTTTTAGCACTTCCTTTTCTCCAAGGCTGGGCTACAATCAACTCTTTCTCTGTTACCTGACACTGGGTTTTATCTCCAAGCACTATGCCTATTATCTATGGACATCCTCCTCACTCCCTGCCTAAAAGAACTTTTCTAACTTTCCTAAACCAAATTTATCTCTTGGAAATTTTTCCTTAATCCTTTCTCCAACCCCACCCTAGTGCTCATAATATTTACCTACCTGTATAATATGCTGGAAATTAGAAATTTTAATTTGAGTAAGTTATTTCAATGTTGTTTGAAATTCATATTTAGTAATGCACCCATTATTTTAAACTAACTGATTTAGACATTTATCTGAGATGAACAACTAAGAAGCAACCTTAATAAAACTAGATAAATTAAAATAAACTCAGTACCCAGGGAGTGTGAACCCATTATCACACATTGTGCTGGGAGAAATGTAGAAAATTACTCATGATTTATAAGCTCTTTACTTTGTTTCTTTCATTTTCTTTTCTATTTCATGGGATTTGATAATAACATAAACCTGAAGATTATTCTCTAACTCATGCAAAACCAGGAATTGTTTGACTATGTTGGTCATTGAAAGGAAGGCATTTCCTATAAGAATTGAGACCGAGAATGGGGCTGGCAATCTTTGTAGAGCCCCAAACCGAAGTGATGGTCTCTATGTCAAGCTACATAAAATTCTTAAGACTTTAAAACTTTCTACAACTGTATTTTAGAAACTTTTTATTATAACAGGATGCATAGATTCTTCACATAATTGATTGTTTTGCTTTCTTTTTCAGGTCTGCTTTGTGAATCTGGATGTAAACAAGGATGCCTGCAGCACAGAGAACCTGCAACAGGTAATACCTGGACCTGGAGCCCTCCAGGAGCCTGTGATGAAGGCTAGACCCTGTCATCTATGATGTGCTCTGTAGAAGCGTAGATGGTTTCATCACTGCCCATTTCCTCAACCTTGCTCTGTACCTGTTGCCCCATATACATACATGTATATACATATATATATATGTATATACATGTATGTATATGTGTGTATATACATATATGTGTGTGTATATATATGTGTGTATATACATATATGTGTGTGTGTGTATGTATGTATGTTTGAGAGCCACTTTTCCCTGCCTGCAAAACTGCTCAGGAACGCACCTCCCCTTGCCTGTCAGCATCCTAAAGTGACTATTTCTGTCCTTGCTTCACTTTCACACCACAGTCTGGCATGCCTTTGCCTAGGTTTCTTATAATTCGGGTGAAGGTAGCCAGCCCTTTCCCCTGGCTCCCAGGATTACTTCTTTCCCATTCTTTTCATTAAATCTTGCCCAAGTCTTATCTCAACTGTGTTTTCATTGTCTTACCCACACCATGAGCTTGAATATTTTGCACCTCATAGCAGCCAACTTCCCCAGACCCATTCAAGGTTGAGAACTGGTGTAACTGCATTAAATTCTTGAATGTCTGTTCAGTTCCTTAGAGGCTGAGCATGCCTGTGGTACAACGAAAGGACTTAAGTAAAGTCACAGTTTGTCACTACATGCCCAATACTGAGAGGCTTTACCTCATTTGATAAAACAGCATGTTTGCAATTGGATTATCACACAACAATACACACATGCCTCACTTAACTGATACTAGGCACACAGTGATTCAGGACCCAGTCACAGTGCATGCAGAACCTGAGATTATTCAGTGCTTCTACATGTTTCCTTGGTATAGTTGAATCAAGTTATTCACAGGTATTATTCACTAGAAACTTTCACCAGGTTCCAAATATTGTTCCCTGGGTAGCTCTAAAGGTTTCACAGAGAATCGTGCATGTAGCTTTATTCAATGGAGTTAGTATGTAGAGTCCTTCAGAAAGAGGACAGAGAGGGCAGAAGCAGATTCCCATCATAGTAACTGTGTTTCCATAATTTATAGAATGACTTAAGAGAGTTTCCAGTTATGGATTTTCTTTCACAGATGATATGATTGGTGCAACTTACCATTTTCTAGGCCATAGGCTAGTTATGACTACACGAAAGTAATTATGGCATCTCATTCACATAGGAATCTGTTCAGGATTAAATGGAATAGGATGTCACATATGCAGGCTTTACCAAACTGCTTAGAACATAGTCAAAGCAAAATCAGCACTGGATATGATTTTTTTATTATTGAGTTTAGGGGAATAGAAGATTGCTAGCAAGAGGAAAAAATATTTCCAAACTAATGTTTATTCCTATTGTGTAATAGGAATTGTCAAACTTCACTTTGAAAAACTTGAAGTCAGAGGCTTAGTCAAGCTTAAATGCTCTATTCTTCTCATCTAATTTGAAACAGATTCTTTTCTAGATTTCAAGGATTTTAATATTTTTATATTTTGAGCTTATAATATAATTAAATCATTTCCTAGTTTCCTTCTCATCCCTCAATTCCTCCCATGCACACCTGCCTGTTCTCATTCAAATTCATGGTCTTGTTTGATTGATGGTGGTGGTGATATAGTGTGTGTGTGTGTGTGTGTGTGTGTGTATGTGATGTCTTTCATGGATGACTATTTGTTATTAGACAGTTGGGTTTTTCCCTGAGAATACTATTTATCCTGCTCTCAACATTCCATGGCTGCCTGCAGTCCTCTGCCTAGGGTTGAGACCTGAGCTTTTTCTCCTTGTCAGCACATCTATTGGTGCCATCCTTGTTCAGGTCAGGTTTAGACAGTCACGTTGGTGGCACTTCATAGGTGTAGCTTCTCTGACATTTCTAGGAGAAATAATCTCACAGCAAACTTCTTGTTCCACTTCCTTCCACAGTCTTTCTGCCTGACTCTTCTACAATGATCCTTGAGTCTTAGGTGCAGGAGTTGTGATACAAGGATCTATAGACTAAGCAGCTAATATATCTATATTCTAACTAATAAATAATTTTTGTAGATGGAATAGTTTGGGAGTATAAAAGAATCCTCTGAACTAACAAAGTCTTACCCCACAGAAACTGCTCAATGTCTCACCAGACCTTCCAAAACTCATTAACTCCATGAATGTCCAACAGCCGAAAGAAAATGAAATTGTCCTCCTCAGTGGATTAGCCTCTGGAAACCTCCAGGCAGATTTTGACGTTTCACAGGTAAGGTGCATAGTTCTCAATCAACTAGTCACTTAGTGATAAACTTTTCTGTAGTCAAATAGATATGACCCCAAACAGATGCTGTGCATGAGCTGTAGTAGAAGAGCCCATGGTGACTCTGTATTTGATACTGGCCTTTATCCCAGTGTCTCCCACACAGCACCACTCAGAGATTGATAGGTTTTTTTTCCCTCTGCATCAATTCTCAGATCCTCAGAGTTGTTTCACTGGGACTTGAGCAGATCCTGGGTTATTTCACTTTCTGGTCTACAAGGCCTCACTTAATATTCAAAATCAGAATCTTCTCCTCTTTTAGGAACAAACCCAGAATTCTAGTAAGCATCCTCTGATTATCATACCATCCTATAGCATCATTCTTCTGTGGCTTATTTGCCCCTGAAGAAATACCAAATTAGCCAAGCTTGTAAGTCGAGAATGTGGCTTTTGGGATGGGAAGGAAGTATGCTGGCCCCAAGGAATAAAATCCCACAAGAAAGAATGTCATTAATAGTAAAGTAGGAATGAAAGTATTATATTCTTTGACAGATTCTTCTTTGTTGCTGTTGTCTAAACCATCACAACACTACTTTGAAGAATGCATTTAAAGCTTCTAAGTCAATTTGCAATGAAAGTACACACAAGGTTTGCTGTAACAATATATTCGCTGGTTCCAAAGTAGTGAGCATTTGCTGTGCACCAAAATATCAGAATCCTGGAAAGCCAGCCTTTATTCTGCCTTGATTCCAGAGACTTAGGGCAGATCTCTGTCTAATCTGTTTGAATTTTCTGACTGAAACATCAATATAATAATACTTTTCATTATCTGGATTTCTGGAGGGTGGGTATCGAGAAATGGCTCTAAGTTTTAAGTGTCCTTTATATTGAGCAAAACAATAATGATCAGAAAAAATTTCAAGTCTGAAGTTTGAAAGTATTTTTGCAGTGCTTACAGGCCTGTATTTCCTCTGCCTCTATGTCCAGGAATGATCTGCTCCCTACTTAAAGGATTTTTCTAGGAAAAAGTTCCTTAATATCATAAAGTAAACTCTAACTAGTTCTGGAAGTCAAAACTTAAGTGGAGAGCAAGCACTATTTACCAGCCCTTGGCCTGACAACATATCTATCTGCACATTAGTGCAATCATTTTCACTAATAAAACAAGAATCCCATAATATACAATAATTTACATCTTGTCAGCCAAGAGAAACAATCTTTCTGAACAACCAAGAGTTGAGATTTGACCCTGAAGGATTTGGGTATTTCTCAGCCTGAATTTATCTATCTACAAAGGAGAATGAATTAATTTCTACTTGGGAACATCAACTTGAGAAATGAAATTTGTACAAAGTACCTTTTATTCAAAATGAATTTTAGTTTTGTTAGAAAACATAGAGCAAAATTCTAAGAAACCCAACATCCTATAAAAAAAATTGAAACTATTTTTTTTCTCTCAGGTATCCTCTAAAATATGAGTTGCTTTATATTAAAATTGAAACATTTTAATAATCACTTTTCAAACAATGTGATAAATGAATCAATGAATAGGAAAACTTCGTTGCTTGGTAATCCTATATTCTTAATTCTGAAGCTAATAACAATGCTTTTTAACTATAAATTTTCCATGAATTCTACATAAATTATTTTCTATGACTTTAAATATACAACAATTGAAAACTTTATTCCTATCATCTTTATAAGACTAGATTATTTTTTACTGATGTGCTCAGCTGTAGCTAACATGAGCAATTTCAAGTATTAAAATCGGGAGGTACCAATTTTCTTCTCTGTATCCATGAAAGTTGATACTGATGTTAATTGGGCCTAGCCTTAAACTGAACTTGGAATATTTTGAATGACCTTATTTAGTATTCTTAATTAAACATAACTAGATGGACTGGAAACAGAAAAACCATGACTGAAAGTAGAATTAAGAACATAGAGTATGTATGGTTTCATGTAACTAAGCAAACACAGGGAGTAGAAAAGATGAAGGGACTTGATTCATGTTGAACAGGACATAGATTTTTCCTAGAGCCTCCTTCCTGCTTTCCCTGTAGGTCCTGTTTATCAGACACAGGAGACATTACCCTTTTGAGTTCAAGTTGACTACAACTACCATTCCAGCTTGTTCTCAAATGTCTCATTGAGTTCTTTTGGTTCTCATGTGTTATATATTCATTTCTTAACCCGTCACTCTCATTTGCGAAATGTACTGTTCAGCCTGGCCAGGCCAAGATTCACCCCTGGATATAGAGATGAGCTTCCTGTGGATTTCTCACACAGTAAATGAAGCAGAAAAATTCTACCTCACAGAGTATGAGGACAAAGTGGGTAAATTATGGTCACCAAAGGAGTAAAAATGTCCCATGGAATAGGTGAGAGTAAAGTTACCAATACTTTATTAAATATAACATAGTAAAGAATGTTCGAAGTACACCATGGTTGCAGGACACTCTAGAGTCTCCATTATCTGAGATGCTGAGGTGGGAGGACCACTAGAGGCCAGGAGCTTGAGCCCCATCTGGTAAAAATTCCATGCCAAAGAGCAAACAAAGTGTTCACAGTTTGTGCATCCTTTTCCCTACAATCTATCAGTGCCTGTCTCTAGATCTCATACTTCTTTTTTATCGGTCTCTCCATCACTTAATCTGTATCTCTTCACCTCTCGGCAGATTCCCAGGCCTCCCACAGCTACTATCTCATTTTACAGACACCACATCACCTGTTTTAGTGGGTCAGAAAAGTGGGAGCATCAGCAGCAAGGAACCTCATCTTAACCATCATAGCAAGTATCTACTTATTAAAGATATTCTGTGACTGTCTGGTTTACCCCCATTAAAACCAGTGGTCTGCTAAATCACAAGTAAGGATGTAGAGCCAGGCTTAAACTGTATGCTCAATTAGCCAGGGAAGTCTGAACAAGTCATCTTTAGGGATGACCTCACAATACACTCATGACTTACTAATGGCTTGGTCATACCGGGGTTTACAGTCATGAGCAAGTTAAGCATTTTGTTCCTATAAAGCTACTTTACAGTTATTTGTGGAACCTTATTGTCTATGTGTATTATTAAATATATATAAGTACAAACCCAGCAGTCCACATGCATGCATCTCAAACCACTAATGAACATGTACTGTGGCCATTCAAGAAAAATAATAACAAAAAACATTTCTTTTTTGTTTGTTTGTTAATTTTTTTCATTCAAAAATTTCCACTTCCTCCCCTCCTCCTATTCCCCTCCTGCTCTCCCACTCACCCTCCTCCCGCCCCCTCCCTCTTTAAGAGGGGGCAGGGAATCCTGCCCTGTGGGAAGTCCAAGGCCCTCCCCCCTACATCCAGGCCTGGGAAGCTTTGCATCCAAATAGAGTAGGGTCCCAAAAAGCCAATATATGTAGTAGAAACAAGTCCCAGTGCCTTTATCAATGGCTTCTCAGTCAGCCCCCATTTTCAGCCACATTCAGAGAGTCCGGTTTGATCACATGTTTGTTCAGTCCCGGTCTTGCTGGATTTGGTGAGCTCCCATTAGAACAGGCACACTGTCTCAGTCAGTGGACCAACCCCTCGCTGTCCTGACTTCCTTGCTCATCTTCTCCCTCTTTTGCTCTTCAACTGGACCTCGGGAGCTCAGTCCATTGCTCTGATGAGGGTATCTCTCTCTATCTCCATCCGTCACCTGATGAAGATTCTATGGTGATATTTGAGATAATCATCAGTGTGATAGTGGGGTAAGGCTAGTTCAGGCACCCTCTCCTCTGCTGCCCGAGGACCTAGCTGGGGACATCCCCAAGGACACCTGGGATCCCCTCTAGAGCCAAGTCTCTTGCCAACCCTAAAATGGCTCCCTTAATGTAGATATCTTCTTCCCTGCTCCTATATCTGCCCTTCCTCCATCTCCACCCTCCCACCTCCCCAAGCTCTCTCCAGTCTTTCCTTTCTCCCTTCTCTTTGTGAAGAAGGAGCGGTGGGCTGCGTTCCTACCCAGCTCCTGCATGGCTAGCTTTACACCCAAAATAACAACACACAATTGTATTCTTTTAAATACTGCCTGGCCCATTATATCTAGCCTCTTCTGGCTAACTTTCACATCTTGATTAACCCATTTCTAATAATCTGTGTAGCACCACGAGGTGGTGGCTTATCAGGGAAAGATTCAGCATATCTGACCTGGCGGCTGGCTCCATGGCGGTTGCCCCAGAGAGGAGAGGCATGGCGATTGCCTCACTTCCCTCTTCCTCCCAGAATTCTTTTTTGTCTACTCCACCCACCTAAGGGCTGGCCTATCAAATGGCCAAGGCAGTTTCTTTATTAACCAATGAAATCAACACAAAACAGAAGACCCCCCTTACATCATCTTTCAAAAACATTTCAATAGCCAGTAGTTAAATAAAATGTTAGAAAAATTAATTACTTTCTGTTCCTGTTTGATTTCTGGTGCTACAATAACACCACCTATCATGGAGGATAGGGTTAAGGTTTTAGCTGACACATTTAGGTAATAGTCGATCATTGAGGGACAGTAGAGCAGGAGCTAAAGCAGAAACCACAGAGGAATGCTACCCACTGTCTCACACTCTTAGCTTTCTTATATAGCCCAAGTGCACCTGCCTAGGGATGGTGCCACCCATAGTATGCTAGATCCTCTCTCATCAGTCATTGGTCAAGACGATCTCTCACCAATGTGCTCACAGGTCAGTCTTACTGAGGTAAAGTTAACTTGGGGAGAGGGTCCCTATTCCCAGTTTTGTGACTCAAGACTGAGTTGACAATAAGAGCTAACCGAGACACTTGGGTACAGAAGCAGATATGCTGAGAATGTTATCATATGCAACAGTCCTGTCTACTCCTGTGGCTGTCCTCCCTGTGAGATAAGGATGTGATTAGCCACACATGCATGAGTTTGCAAAGGCCCAGGTGTAGCCTTTCTTCTTTTCAAACTTCACAGAAGCCTTCTGTGAATACTGGGTATTTCTTGTGGAGCATGATTTAGTGTAACTGGGTAGAATTCTGAAATTATGCATTGCAAAAGAGCATCCAGAAAAGGCTGAGACATCAAGTCCACATCCCACACTTTTAAAGGCAAGGCTATGTGCCACCATCTTTAAAAAGCAGTTCTGATCACAAATGTGCATAATGAAATTCTGTCCCTGCAAACTAGGAGCTCCCAAGCCCTTCTGTAAATGATTGACTTCTTTATTTTAAAATCATCTTTCCTACAATGACTCTAGTTACAATATTCAGCCAAAAGTGGATACATGACACACAGATAAGAAAACGCTAAACTGCTTCTGGAAACAGCTTATGGGTGTCTATATGCCTGTATTCTTTTCCATGGTCTTGTGCTCCCCAGAAATAACCACAACCAGCATTAGACCCGATTTGCCAGCCACAGATGAGCATCAGATTGAAACATCTCTTATGCCTGTATTCTTTTCCATGGTCTTGTGCTCCCCAGAAATATACCCGATTTGCCAGCCACAGATGAGCATCGGATTGAAACATCTCTTTTGAAAAGTGACCATTCAGACATCAAATATTTATTTCCAAACATTTCTAATTCTACTTAAGGATTGAATTTCTCCCCTGTCCATTAACTCTTGTATCCGTTTGGAGATATTTCCCCTGAAATCTGCTATAAATCTATATATTATTGACATTATGAAAAGTGAAACTGTGGGGGCTGGGGCAGTAACTCAGTGGTAGAGTGTTTGTTGTGGAGGCATGATGGCCTCTGTTGAGATCCCCAGCACTCAAGTAAAGGACACGTGTTTCAAGGATACACCTATAATCTCAGTGCTGGGAGGTGTGGCCATAGCAGTGGGCAGGTCCTGGAGACTCACTGACCCATCTAGCCAAAAAGAAAAGGTCCAAGTTTAGTGAGAGACTATGTCTCAAAAGCTGTGGAGGTGGGGAGTGACAGAAGATTATTAATTACACCCAATGTCAACCTCTAGCTTCCACAAGAGCACTGACATTCCTGTGAATATATGCATATATATATGAATATATATACATACACACACACACACACACACACACACACACACATATACACCCTCCACCCACACATACAGAGAACTGTGCACAATCTTTTGTTGTTGTTGCTTTGGTTTACTGGGTATCTGTTCAGGAGAAACGAAACGTTTGCTGCTCTTTTAATGGAAAGAGCATGAGTAATGAATATGAATCCAGAAGAACAACCAGGTGGTCCATGACTCTGAGCATACCTGAGGCATGAGCCCATCACTCAGGCCCCTTTGTCACTGGCCTGGAAAGGAATGTGTGTTGTGCTGTAAAGATCATCAGACCTCTCTTAGTGAGCATCTTTATATTTTATGTTGGCTCCTTCAAGAGAGTAACACCAAAGTGAAGCCTGCATATAGTTGAAAGGACGATTAACTCCATAGCCAAAACACTAACAGAGGCCTTATTGACTACTATAGAGATAACAAAGAACAATATTCTGAGAAAAGGTCTCCATTTAAACAAGAGAGGCAGTCCAGAAGCCCAAGAACCCCTTCTATAAGCTTTCAGCCAAGCTTCCTGACCCAAGCCCTAGCCTACTTCCTACCCCTAAACATTTAGTCCAAGAAACATATTACTGTGATTTTTCCCCATATGACATGTAACTCTCTTTGTAAACCTCTCTCCAGTTTTATGACCAAATAGTATTTTATCCAAGGACCTGAGAACCATGCCTTAAAACCAGCTCCCCTCTCCCATTCTAGGAGAGAATGGGGTACTGCCATCTGTAGGCCACTGGCTCCCGAGTAGACAACATTTTACTTTTCTTTTGTGTAAAGCCAATTAGCAAACACAACCGGCCTTAAATCCACATTGCTTTTGTTTCCTCCCAGTGATGGCCTGGGTTCTGTTCTCACTCTGCTTATTTCAATAAAGTTGAATGAAATCTTCCTTCCCTATTCAATTTTGAACAGTTTGGTTTTCTGCTTTGATGAGGGAAATCTCAGCTATATGAGACAGATAATTGTTTTCTTTTAAGGAAAGCTTTCTTCTAAATGCCCTCTGTTCCAAAATGCCATATGATGCTTTTTTTAAAACAGTTTATTGGCAGGAGCTCTGAAGATATTTCCAATATTTTTAAGAGCCCTTCTCCTTTTCTCAGAAGAGCTTGGGAAAAAGAATACGGTCACCCATGATCATCTTTTATTGCCGTTTTGGAGAAAGTGCCTTCTTTTCTGTCTGCTTTCAGTGCCCTTGGCTGCCTGATATCTGCTTGGTCCAGTGTGCAAGAGGAAACAGACCAAACAGTACCAACTGCATCATCTTTGAGATCAACAAGTTCTTAATTGGTCTCGAAGTGGTGCAGGAGCGCCAGCTCCACCTGGAGACCAGCGTCTTGAAGCTGGAGGATGACACAAACTGTTCTCTGTCTTCAATTGAGGAAGATTTCCTTACCGCCTCTGAGCACATGGAGGAGGACATCGAGGCGGAGGAACACAGGAGTGGTAAGACGTTACTGATAAAGCAAGCATGTTCCCCGACCCACAGCATTGGCAGAGGGAGTCCAGCAAAGTTTCAGGCCACGTCAATTTAGCTGATGCCTCACACTCTCTACTTGGTCAGGTTTAATGAAACAAACAATATAAAGAGAACACTGGTGAACATGCTGACTAATGTATTTAAGGCAGCTTAATGGCTGGATGCATGCTGGCTCCCAGAAGATGCCTTAGGGATGCTGAGGGAAATCTGTGTGCTCTAAAGGGAAACCTTTCTACCCGCCAAGAAGTTTCTTCTGAACAGGAAAGTTAGTTTCCCTGAAACTTCCAGAAATGCCAGCATTACCAAGAGAAACCAAGTTGGCCTGGCTTGGATTTGTATCCCAGAATTTCACTTTGAGACTCTGATACCTAAGACTTCTCTCTGATCTCTTTTAAGCCTTGGTTTCTAAAAGTGTTTACAATTAGTGGTGTTTGTGAGACAAGAAGGGAAAGAGGGAGGAAAGTGCTCAGCCATCATTTACGTCTACTGACTCATTAGCAAACTCAGGGTCCCTTTTCCCACCTCAACCCCCAGAGAAGAAAATTGCATAAAGTGTTGCATTGTTGCTGAGGCAGGTCCTGTGCACTCCTTAGTACAAATCTTTGCAACAAAGCTCCTATGAAACTCTTCTTCTTGCCCCCTTGTCCCCACCCCTTCTCTCTCCCTTCCCTGCACTGCAATTTCCTGTGCCACTTCCCCAAGGAGAAATGACAGCAAGCCATCATTCCCAAATATATCTTTCCTCTCCCAATCCCCGCATTAAAGGAGTGTTATAAGGCCACACTGCAAAGCAAAATTCAACATCTGTATCAGATTTACTTTAAAGGAGGCAACAGTCACAGTGCTGTACTAAAGACAGGGGGTGGAGAGCTGGAAGTAAATTTAGAAAGTAATTGTTAGTTTAGGCCCATTAGAATCTGCTATCCAAAACGTAATGACGGTCCTCCCTCATTTTCTCTTTACTAGGTTTCGAAACTATAAACGTGTCAGCTAATGTGTTGGAAAATAAAAAGCCAAAGGAAGCTACTCAGGAAGGATGGGATTACCACAAGGAAAAGTTGCATTGTTCTTTAGGGGAAAAACAAACTAGAAAACACCGTACACCCATGAAAACAGAAGGGCCAAAGGAAAACATAGCAGAGAACACACCCTTGCAAAGTGTCAATCCTTCAGCCAGGTCATTCCGTGGGAAAAGTGAAGTGGCAGGGGCCAATCAGCTGGCCACAAACCAAGCGTATCCAGAAAACATCAAAGGAGAAACAGAAACATCTCAGATGCTGTTTATCCCTCGGGATGCTTATCTCTCCATGGTTAAGAAAGAGGGGCTTTCTTCCTGCGAAACAGTCATTGAGCAGGGTAGCAACCCCAGAGATCATGGTGGCCTGCAAAATTCTCTTCCTCCTGTTCAAAATGAAAAAGCCACCACGGGCGAGTATGCTACAAACTTAGCAGAATCGGTGCTGCAAGATGCCTTCATCAGATTGTCTCAGGCGCAACCGACACTCCCCGGGGAATCTTCGGTTAGTTTCTCTGTGGGAAGTGCTCTGCTTCCCAGTGGCTGTTGTACAAAAGATACAGTGGTCCCTCGTTCATGGGATGAGCTCCCCAAAATTGTCATTGTGCAGAGCCCAGAAGGTAGTGACGCTGCGCTGGAGCCAAGTGTCTCCTGGCCTGAGACGGAAGTTTCTGTTGAAACCACAGGCATCCCTTCTGGAGAAGGCTCCCGCAGATCCACTCAGAGCGCCCTAGAAGTTGCCCTGGCTTGTGCAGCCACGGTCATTGGAACCATTTCCAGTCCGCAGGCCACAGAAAGACTCACCATGGAACAGGAATCCCTGATATCCAGCTATACCCAGAGAGGCAGTGGGGTACAACAAACTCAAGTGCCACAAGTACTCATGGAACCGTCTCTAACTGAATACTCCTTTCCGTCAGCTCTGTGCGGCATGACTCAGGTGGCAAGCGCTGTTGCTGTCTGCGGCCTGGCTGAAAGAGAAGAGGTGACATGTTTTGTTGCTCCAAGTCACGTCTTGGCCACCTCTGGGGCTTCTGAAGAAATATCCTCAGCTGAAAGTTTAGTGACAGAGAGGAGCACGGAGCTGGGGAAGGAAGCCATTGCAGAGGCTCTGCTCAGAGAGGCTGCTTTAGTCTTAGCGCGACCTGATGCGTCCGGCAGCATTGGAGACCTCCTGGACTCTGTGAAAAGGAGAGTCGTAGAAATCACTTCCAGAACCCAGAGCCTAAGCAAAGAGAACACCCAAAGGAATGAACTGGCACAGACCCTGGCCAACGTCATCCTCAAGCATTGCATTGATGAGGTTCACCAGACACACTTAACAACTCGCCCCACTGATGAAAGACATCCCCGTGGAATTCTTGACCCCTTAATGGAAAGTGTGAACCAGCTTCTCCACAACGTGATCTGCTTCACGTTCAAAAAGATGAGTCACGTTGTAACACCCAGTGACCATCCCACTTGCCTTTCTGAAGAGACCCTCAGGTGGACAGAGGCAGAACCCTTAGGTTGCCAGTCATTTGATCAGGCTGCTGGTCAAACAGAGGCAAAAGCTTCAGCATGTTCCGGCAACCATTCTCTTAGCAATGTGCATGGCACTGGCCTTGTCAGAGGTGATCTTGTTGAGGATGCACCTCCGAAGCAAAGCACGGGTGGAGCAAGGTCGGGGCTTTGCAACAACTCCAGGCTGCCATCTGAATTCTCATGCTGCCACAGAATGCTTGGTCCAGCTGCTAAAACATCCCCCAAGGAAGTAAACCTGAAAACGCTTATGGGAGAGGCCTCAAAGAACCCTGACTACACACTCAGTTTGGATGGCAAAGAACAGAGAGCCTCTACGGAAACAGGAATGTCACCCAGAGCAGTGGAGAGCTGTGGTGGCTCCCAGGAGACTGAAGACAGCCTTGTTCTAAGCACCCAAGAGAAACACACCTGGGCCACTTCCATAAACAACGAAGTTCAAGTTAACCGATCCTTGTTAGGGGATGACCTGGTGTTCCCTGCTCAGTCTACACTACAGGCAAAGCAGTCCGAGGTCTACTGCATCACAGACTTTGCCGAAGAATTGGCAGAAACTGTTGTCTCCATGGCAACCGAAATTGCTGCAATCTGCCTTGACAACTCCAATGGAAAACAGCCATGGTTTTGTGCTTGGAAAAGAGGGAACGAGCTTCTGGTGGCGCCCAATGGACCATGCCGATCCTTGAAGAGGAAGAAGGAGAACTCAGGCGGTGGAAGCACTGTGAGGAAGCACAAACCACCTCGCCTCAGCGAAATCAAGAGGAAAACAGACGAGCATCCAGAGCTGAAAGAGAAGCTGATGAACAGGGTCATGGATGAGTCCGTGAACCTTGAAGACTCTACAGACTCCGTCAGCACGTTCGCAAATGAAGTGGCAGCCAAGATCATGAACCTCACAGAGTTCTCCATGGTGGATGGAGTGTGGCAAGCCCAGAGCTGTTCCCGGAATCGGTTCCTGGGAGGTGATAGGTGGAACAGGCTGAAGGCCTCCAGCTGCGAAAGCATTCCTGAGGAGGACTCTGAAGCCAGGGTCTACGTTAATAGCATGGGTTTAATGAGTACCTTAAGCCAGCCCGTTAGCCGCGCCAGCTCAGTCTCCAAACAGTCCAGCTGTGAGAGCATCACCGAGGAGTTTTCCAGGTTCATGGTGAAACAGATGGAAAACGAGGGGAGGGGATTTGAGTTACTGCTGGATTACTATGCTGGCAAAAATGCCAGCAGTATTCTGAGCTCAGCAATGCAGCAGGCATGCCAGAAAAATGACCACCTCAACGTGAGGCCGAGCTGCCCCTCTAAACAGTCCAGCACAGAGAGCATCACTGAGGAGTTCTACAGGTACATGCTGAGGGACATCGCCAAAGAAAGCAAAGATGGCACCTCCTCCAGACGAAGCAGCCATGACTGGACCACAGGCTTGCTGTCTCCTTCGGCCCGCTCCCCGCTGTGTTACAGACAGTCATCTATGCCTGACAGCAGGTCCCCATGCTCCAGATTAACTGTAAACGCACCTGTCAAAGCCAACTCCTTAGACGGCTTTGCCCAAAACTGCCCTCAAGATTCGCTAAATGTACAGCCAGTCAGTAGGTTTTCCTCATCTGGTCTCTGCCAATCAGACTCCTGCTTATATCGCAGAAGTGGGACTGACCAGATCACAAACATGCTCATTCATGAAACATGGGCCACCTCCATTGAGGCTCTCATGAGAAAGAATAAAATTATTGTGGATGATGGCGAGGCAGCAGGTGTCAGTCCTGGTCCTGTTTCAAGTGGCTCTTCTTTGAAAGTAGAGAAGGGTGCAAACGGAGTAGCTGCCAGCAGAGGACACAGTGGGCCAGCTCTGCTGGTACAGGAGTGGGTTGATTACCAGAGAAAGGATGCTGATACTGAAAACAATCATTCCCCAGTGTCATCTCTGAGCAAAACAGCTCCTGGTAAGAAACTGGATGGTTTTGATCCTAGAAAAGAAACCTCTTCGTGCCACGATGCCGTTGTTCTCAAAAGCCCCAGGCAGCCGCTTTGCTCAAGAGACGTACCTTTGATTCAGATAGAGACAGATCATAAAGAAGAGGACATTGGAGAACAAGAACCTATCCTTCCCCAAAGTGGCTCCCTAGAAGAAACAGAAGGGCACCAACCTGAAGAAACCCTCCCAGATGTGGCCAGAGGTGGAGATGTGGCCCTGAGCAACTGCCAAAGCTGTTGGTGAGTTGATCATCTCTGAGTCCCAATAGGTGCATGTTCACCACAGTTTACATCTCAATCAGTATTCTTCTAAGTCAGTGGTTTTCAACCTGTGGGTCATGACTCCTTTGGGGGTTCAGACAGTCCTTTCACAGGGTTGCATATTAGATATTCTACATATCATACATTTATTTACATTATTATTTATAACAGTAGCAATATTACAGTTATGAAGTAGCATTGAAAATAATTTTTTCTTTGGAAGTTACCATAACATGAGGATCTGCATTAAAAGGTTACAGCATTAGGAAGTTGTGAACCACCATTATAAATCTTAGGTAGGAATATAGGGATGTTATTGATGTACAAACAGAATTCCGGAGGCAATAAATGACCTCGGTAGACCCCTGTGCATGCATAAGAAGGGAGACATTCCTCTCACCTTATCCACTGACATTTTCTCTACCTTTCCCATGGCTGGGCCTGCTGTAATTGTAGGGGTACAAGGCCCCTCTTGTGCCTGCTGTTTTATTTTGTTTAGAAGCCTGATCTTTTAGTCTCATCCAAGAACAGTAATCTCCCTGGTCAACTTATGGATATACATTCATAAACCTATAATAACTCGGCTCAACATGCTATATTTTTAATGCATAACTCATACACCAGGAAGCAAAGTGAAGTCATCCCCACATCCAAGGCCATCAGGTCACACCTGACCCCTATAGTTGGTGTTCAACTAAACTTCATGAATGAATGGTTATTATGAAAGCAGGAAACCATTCTGGACCTAATAACGTTCTGGTTCACCTTGCTGTCACAGAAAAAAAAATCTTTTAGGCTAATCCAAATATATTTTGTAATTAACTGTGAACATTAGTTGGAGCGTTTCCTCAGTATTAGATTACTGAGGCAATACTGAAGTAGAACAGATAGCTGATTATTTGGAATTCAAAGGCTTATTTTATTCTATAATCATGGCATAATATAATATCTGCCTACTGCAAAAGAAAGAAAGGCAGAAAGGAAGAAATGAATGGAAGGAGGGAGAAAGGGAGAAACCAAAGGAGGGAAGGAGGGAGAAGGGAGGTTTGTTGAATAACTTACTTTTTATCTTCCAAAACAAATTGAATTCATTTATGTAACAGAAGAATCATGGTGTCACTCTTCTTATTAAAACAAGTGCTCCAATGCTTCGGTGGCTTTTGAAATTATTCGTGGTGGTTTTCAATCAGAAATAACACTAATAAGTAGCAGCAATTGTTTTTCTTTTGGAAAGAGATTTAATTTTAACTTAGGAAATTGAGATTAAATTTTTGGCATCTCTTCTCTAAAGAGTTTCGTTCCTGACTTATTCTAAGAATTCTCTGTCAGGACCCTGTGTCCCACGAGTGCCAGCTCTTTGGGTGCACAGGGTGCATGCATGCGTAGTCTCTCTCTGGAAGCTGTCATTTGGACAGTGCTTCTTCAGGAGATTGTACATGCAGCAGGAACGAACTTCCGGGGTGAGGTAAGAATTCCCCTCAGGCTGCACAAGAAATATGAGTTTCTTTCCTAACTTCAAGTGCCTGCATACTACTCACAGGGGACTGTTGTATCAATCCTCTATTTTTAGCCCACAATTAAAGTTTAGTGAAACGGAAAATTCCAGCTTTAGAAACATATAGTTTGAGAAATAACCAGGGCAGTCTTTTCAGAAATGTGTGCCTACATGTTCATTATTTACAAAGAAATAAGAATATATATATATATATATATATATATATATATATATATTAACACAGCAATCACCAAATGTCAACAGTTCTCAAAGTCTGTGTTGCATTTACTCCTAAGCAGAAGAGATCCATGTTGGGGTATTAAAACACCACCATCGGAGAGGGTTTATACATGGGGTTTTTGGTAGAGAGTCCAGTCAAACATAAGAACTGCCTGTTAAGATAGTTAGTGCTAAGAACTTTCAAGTTGGATAGAACCACAGAAGCACAGAAGGAGAAGAGAGAACAAAAACATAAGGACCAGAAACTCAAAGCTAAGACTCACGAAGAAGGTCAAATACACAAAGAAACAAGGTTTCATCAATAATTGTTTTGCTACAGACAATATTCATCAAAGATTTTGCTCATGGGACTATAGAGACATATCAGAGCTAAAGACACAGTATAACCAACATGTCACTTTTCAGAAATTTACATATAGAAATACATAAAAAAGAGATTCCAGGAACCTGACTTAAAGTCAGCAGACATCAGGAGATGTTTAATCAGTGAAGGTGACCAAACTAGAAAGCATCTTGAACTCATATCCAATGGTTGTAGTTATAGCTGTAGACCCAATCAGACAATGATTCTCATTATAGAGTTTTAAATTAAATGTCATTGACATTACTACTAAAGCAGATTTCATCTGGAAAAGTTGCAAACACTTCATACTCTGCATGAATGAGACCATAGCTGACTCAGATTCTTATTCCATATAGTCACCCAAGCATTCAACCTCTTGCTCCAGGGTGTAGATATATGATTCTGTTTCTCATCAAATAAAGAAATAGAATGTAGAATATCCCAGAAATCCAAGGGTTGGCTCTAAATGCAAAATGCAGAGGACTAAGAATAAATAGGGTATCATTTTTGTTTTTGTGGGGAAATATAATCATCATAAAACATGAAGTACACTACCTTTTTTATTAAGTATACTTATTTTTACTGAAAAACAATAAAGAGGGAAAAATCTTTTCATTTTTATTGAAAGAGATGATTTGAAAAGTTAGTTAATTTGTTTATCCATCTGTCTATTACACTGCCTTAAACTATATCAATTTGAACTAGTTTCCTAACATCTGTCATTCTGGTTTACTCACCCAGAAATGGGAATGATAATGTAATTCTTAAATTTTAAGTATGATTTATATACAAAACTCTTAATTCAATACTTCACCTATTATGAATATTCAATAAATTCACCTTGTTATTATTACTATGGTAGTACCATAGCCTTCATTTCAGGAGATGTCTCTTTCCCCAAGGGGAAACCTGTCATGAGAAAAGTGAGAGATTTATTGAAATAAAAGAATTCCCAGGATTGGCAAGCAGAAAAGTAAGTCACAGTTCAGTTACATTTGCTGAACTCAGAGTTGCTATCATGAGATTTGATTTGTCAAAATAGCTGACAACAGAGTTTCATTCTCCATGGAAGAGTTCAGCCCACTTCCACACAGGAGTAGGGCATGTGACATAGGCAGTCTCAGTGTTGTTTGGAGGTCGAGAAAGATTTTCTCCTGAAGATATTTTCAGGCTCTTCTCTGAAGGACATCGTCGTGATTCTTTAAAATATGGTTAAAATTCAACACAATGAAATAAAAACCACTTTCTTACTCTTACTTTTATATTACTTGATAAAAGAGTCACAGATGAAGATCCATTGTGGAAATCACTCCCAAATGGAAATATTTGTTGACTGTTAGCACCATATTTTGAAGATGTATTGGTGATAGTGCTTGATTCTTTAAAGTGGCTTTTGTCAACAGAATAAGATAAGTCATAGACTATCAAAGCATATTTCTAAAAGACACACCCAATAAATGAAAACTATCTAAAATGGTAAAATTCAAATGTTCTTATGTATTGACAAATTACTCATAAGCATGGGACTGACCTAATAAGGCAACACAACTTCAAGGGGAAAAAAGATCTCTCAAAATTCAGCAGTAAGACAATGAACAACATATTAGAAATAGATGAAGCTTCAAGAGTTAAAGGCTAGATTCCCAGCAAGTAGGTATAGTCATTACAAAAAGATTCCATCACAAAGGCTTCATGTAAACTTTGTATCCACATATTCTTGGATTCCTTATTTGACTACATTATTGGGAAGTGATGTAAACTTAGATTGTCTAGTTGGAAGAAATAGGTTGCTTGAGAAGTGTCTGGGATATTTATATCTTGTATTTGTCAGCCTCCTTACTTACCTCCTTTTTTGTCAGGAAAAGAGCCACTTTGCTCTACCACATGATACTCTTATGATGTCAGCTTCACTATGGATGAGCCCCAAAGCACAAAAACCAAGTATCCACAGACTGAACCCTCTCAAACCATGAGTTTAAGTGAACCTGTCCTCTTTTAATCATTTCTCTCGGGCATTTGACACAATGACAAAAGGCTAACACAATGCTCAGCTATCATATGCCTTTAAGACATTTCAAACAATCAAATACAGTAAATATCTAGTAAGATGAATAAAATCTAAACCACTGACAATACCAAGCCCTGGCTAGGATGTCATATGTTACAAACCATTAGTACAATGGATGACCACTTTGGAAGATAGTTGTCAGTTTTCTTTCAAAAGTAAGCAATTGATGTTCATAGAAAAAGAGAAAAAGAAAATCTGTGTGGGTCTTTAAGTCAACTTTGTTTCTAGTTACCAAAACATAGATAAACATGTCTTTTGTTTTAGTTACTTTTCTATTGATGTGATAAAACACTATGACCAAAACAACTTACGAAAGAAAACGTTTAATTGGGTTTGTGACTTCAACAGTTAGACTCTATAATGGTCTGATAAACAGACACACTTGAGATCTGTAATTTTGATCTAGTGGGATGAATCCTCCTACCACTCCTCTTTAATATATTCCTGGAACAGCCCCATAGGATGAGGAAATGGGCGTGCAGATAAGTGTTGTGCGAATTAATAACTTACATTTTGCCGATGATAAAGTACTAATTGCTGAAAGTCCAAATGAACTGCAGACCATGATAGAGTTGTGGAAATGAATGAAAATAAAAATAAACATCAAGAAGACTGAGATATAATACATGGAAAGGGCCCACAAGAATTCTAACATTAAAATAAAGAATCAGAACCTCAAACAAACAGTCAACTTTGTCTATCCCAGAGAAAACCTCAGTTCAAAGGAGGCAATTATTTCAGATGTCAAGAGGCATATCGGAATAGCAAGGACTGCCTTCCAGGCACTAGGGAAAGTTTGGTCAGCAAGAGACATAAAGACAATGACAAAATTG